CAGAGCCCTCATCTGGTCTGGTCTGGTCTGGACAGAAGTCGCCCTTCATCACATGTTTCTCCCAGTCAGGACAGGAACATCAGGACACACCTTACTATATGAATGGCTAATTAGTGTGATGTCTAAAATCATTTTCAAATAACACCGAGTGACCATAAAAGATTATATTTAAGAACTATGAAACTATTTCTTTGCTTGCATGCATTGGGTAATATGTACTACACAGTATATACATGTATACAGTAATCTGTTATCTCTCTGAGTTCTGAACATGTGGAAAAAAGTTGTCTCACCTGTACATTAACTCATCACTTCACTTGACTCGTGTCTTCAACTTCAAGTCAAATGTCAAGTCAAGTTGCTGAGCTGTCATCCGGTCTGGTTTGAACAGGACGTTCACGACCGCTGACCCTCAGGCGTGCAGGACAGTGTCACCTAAACAAAAACAATTGATGCAAGGCAAGAATGGACAACCTGTCACCACTGAAATTGATCAACTCTTACACACTGCCTCTGCCCAGAAATGTTGACAAGTGCTCAAATATAAAGCCCTTAAACTACTCATCTATTCAAATAAAGCAACACAAAATTGTAGTGAAACATTTTGCTTGTTGTGTGCTATTTCTATACAGTATGAAAAATTTAACCATATAATGTTTCACCTATGGATGATGGGTGTCTCATTGTGACTTGCTCTTGTGTGTGTCTGCAAATCCCCTGGTCTTCTCCAAGACAGTCTTGTCAGGTTTAGACAGAGGTCAACGTCATCACTACTGCATCAGTCAGCAGCCACCTTAAACTATACAGGGATTACAAGTTACATACTTGCCTCAAATAACATTAAGTAAATGGTAGGTAAAATACACAATTCAGATTTGTCTTACCTGATATTCATCTGGGGTCTTCAAATCTACTGGTCTACTTTGGTATAATCTAGTCCTCACTGTAAGAAACAGGAGGGGTGAGTAGAAACAGATACAAACCCTTCTGGTCCCGGACCGGGGTTCGAACCCACGACCTCCCGAGCACCAGCTTCAAACTGCGACGCTCTAACCACTCGGCCAAAAAGGTCTAGACCATTGGTCGGGTCAGTTGCGCCTATAAACCCCCCCACTGTTAAACTCCCCCTTTTCTTTTCAAGATTCGTCCTCGAATCTTCTGAATTCGACATCCCTGGAGCGGCACTCTGCCAGAACTTCCAGGGCCAGTGTGGGAACCACTGTAAGAAACCGGAGGGGTGAATAGATTTAACAGATAAAAACCCTTCTGGTCCCGGGTCGGGGTTCGAACCCACGACCTCCCAAGCACCAGCTTCAAACTCCAACGCTCTAACCACTTGCAATTGGCCGAAAAGTCTAGACCCATCAGTCGGGTCAGGTAGCACCCCCCACTGTTAATACATCACTACTGCATCAGTCAGCAGCCACCTAAGCATGCAAACCAAAGAAGTTACACACTTGTCTTAAATAACACCAGATTATAAGAGTCAATTCTGCATCACCTAGTGTTTTTTTCTCCATGTTTGTAATACTTTTGAATTATTTAGAAGAAAAGAATACCCCAGTAACAAAAGTTCTACATTTTTCAAAAATTTGAAAATAAAAATTTGAATACATTTGAATTCATTTAACGCTGTTAAATATTTCTGAAACATTTTGAAAGTGGGTGTACAAAGAGATTTATTTAGAATAAATTTGAACTACTCATGTGTTTCTTTCACTATTCAAAATATTTAGAAATAATTCAAACAAATAACCAAATGATAGATGTGGGTAATTGCCCCCATAAAAGTAGGTGCTAATCCGACTCTTCTGTCTTCTGTATATTTTTTAGATTTCACTGCTGGACACTGGTGGCTCTTTTGTTGTAAGGCATCAATGCCTGACGCCCAGGCAGTCTACACTGTACTTCACAGGGATGTGTGAATTACTTCCTTCCCATCCCACCCACCTATTTACAAAATGTTAGAAATAATTGTAGATAATGGTAAAAAAATGGTAGAGTGCTGTAAGTTAGAAACAGTCACTGTCACTGGAAGACAGAAGAAAAATGTCCAGACTATGCATGATGTACAAAATGACTAATAAACTAGTGGACTTCCCAATTACTAAGTACCTAATACCAGCCCAGAAGAGAACAAGCCATGCCTTCAAGTACCAGAGTTATCAACTAAGGATTGAGGTGTTCAACTTCAAGAATTCATTCTTTCCCAGACAAAAACTGTACGTAGTGAGAGTGTAAAACAGAGATAACAACAAACTCCTTCAATTGAAACTTCATGTGGAATACATACATAAACTCGGCGCAAAATGTTTGAAAACATCAAGACAGGCCTAACAGGATTTTCACATGCGCCATGTTGGATTACAGTGGATGTCTGTTAAACATGCAAACGTACTACATTGTACTAAATCACTTTGACAATATAGACAAAAAGACGTACACATACATTTAATACTCAACAGGAATCCCGCACGTGGAAAATGCGACAAGAAAACGCAGCAAAAAGATGTGATTTTAGAAAGCCTATTTTAAGTTAGGAACGGTCGCTTGAACCACGCGTTTTCATACGAAATATAACTTGACATGGTCTTACTAGTTGCAAGGGAATACTGTCAAATTGTCGGCCTATAAGTTTGTTGGTTTACCTGCAACAATAAGTGAAATCGTCTCCATACCACGCAACTGGAACTGTCCCGCCATTTTTGTTTTCCCAAATTCACCAGGTCAGAAAATCCGGATTTTCTCTTCCAAGCGTCACCAGGACGGCACAAATCCACAGCGAAAGATTCCCCAACGCTTTGCTGCACACCTATGAAAAGATTCCACCGACAAAAGCTATAGAAAGTACCCGAAAAGTTGACAAAATTGTAGCCTAGAATATTCCTGTCGTGCGAGAGCGCCATTTTGAAGGGACCACGCCAACATGCTTTTTTACACAGGTGTGGAAAACAGCTGTGTCTAATTAATGTGAAACCGGTAATCTGTTTACGAATGAGTAAAAATGCAGCTGTAGGGTGACTTGAGTATTCCTTTTATTGACAAATAATTTCACGAATAACATTTATGCCACCACGAAATAAAATAAAACACCTTTTCTTATTACTGTATACTGGTATTTTCACGGGGACTGCGTTTCATGGTAGAATGAATACCTTCCACACACGTGCAAGCAAACATGCCTGTCCTTGGTGCTGAACAACATCCACATACAGGAAAACAAATACTAGTACACTTTTCCCGGGTACAAAATAAAACATTAACAAAAGCTCCAACCGTTCCACAATTATTTCCTAAGCCAGAAAATGAACAATTAATGATAAGGAGGATTGGAAACAAAGTACACGGATCAAAAGTGACCTCTAGTAGTTCAATGCAGTACTGCACCATAACGTTGGCTGAGCCGCTCCTGTTACTGCAGTGATTGTTAATGGCCGCGTAGGGGCGCTTTTGATCCATGGTCTGTGTCTTATGTATGTACCAACATGCTGACTTTCATTTTCTTTCAGGCTCTAATTACGAAAATATCGACGTTTTTTAATGTTTGGAGAAGAGGAAACTGAGCAAGAACAATGTGGTTTCCTTCAGTAATCAAAATAACCCTCACCTCATAAACATTGCGCGGCTCCAAGCACAAATTTTCGGGGAGTTATTCCTTCCCTCCAATGTCCAGCCGCCATTGTTTCTTCTTCTCCAGAAATGGCGGGTGCATGGCGCGATGTACTATGGGTACCAACAGGTGTGCCATCCACCTGGTCTAATTAGTAATTAATTTAAATATCAAGGAGTATTTTGCAGATTGGGGGCAGTATAGCGATGTAAACAGTGTGTGAGCACTGCTTACAACAGCTGGTAATATTCTTTCTATATAATTGCTTAACAACTTGATACATTTCCTGAACTACGTAACGTTATAGCTTTCCCCAATTCCCCTCAACCTGGGAAAACTACAACTCTCCTACGGACAGGGGACAACCAGTTTAGAGACTAATAATTAAATGTAAATCTATCAAGCATGATACATTTCAGGACCAGTATGAGGCGGTACCTTAACCTTGAACTATGAGCGTGTTCATTTTCCAAGTGTGCTTGAACATGTATGATGTTGAGAGTGTAAGTAAGTAAACGGAGATGGCTTCGTAGCGCCAATCACATGTGACGTGATAGCAACTCTTTAGGAACGGCGAGGAAAGTTACATGGAATTCAGAGTTTCGGTGTGCACGCAATGACCTGAGTCCGCCCCCCCCCCACGATTAGTAAACTCACAACCGTCAAATTTTCCAAAAGTCTATTAAATGTAGGGGTGCTTCTGAAATATTACATTAACCACGGGAACAGCTATGGTAAAAATAAAAATACGTGCATCATCATGGGCATGCCCGCAGACGACGTTTAAAATTACATGCATATAAAACAAAGGGAACCGTTTTACCTGTTAACGCGTAAAACCAACTGACCACAATACTCATGCAGCAGGAAGACCTTCACGGAGTAATAATAAATCGTCTGGTGCGTTCCTTATCGTTTTTATACATAGTTCGTTAGTTGCAAAGGTTAACATTAATTGGCAAAGGTATGAGATTGTGGAACTATTAATCTATCCGGGTTTCAATAGGCGAATAAAATTAATTCATAAGATTACAAAAAGACTGTAGTATAATGTATTAAATGAACCATTCTTTGTATCGCTAACTTTCTTTGTAATACCGTCTTCAGCAACAGAAAACCTACGTCCTAAAGAAAGCCCTATTTTGTGTTTGTAATCTTATTTTTTTCTTATCTCTTTTCTTGTCTTTGCGTCAACCTCTGAGATTATTTAGTGGTGATTTAAGTTCTTAATTCTGATGATCAAAGAAAAAGCTATTTATTGTCACTCCTGAACAAAGAACCATGCAACCACACTCTCTTCATTTCTGTGCAGATTACCAAGGAAGCTACATCATTTATTCAGAAATGGAAAAAGGAGGAAAGAACAGAGAAGGTAGCATAATTCATAGAGTTTGTTTACTGACATGTAGTCTTTAATCTCGCTCCTGAATAAAATGTTCCAAAATACATCCACAAGAAATGGACAATGTCGAAACTTTGTTTCTCAACAACAGCAAACTCACATCGTTACATCCATATAAACATATTTTTTGTGTGTTTGAATAATTCAAAATTATAACATCTATTTCACAACATAGAATCTGTCGTCGGGTACGAATTTCAAGACTTGACGCTATAGTCATATTATCAAAATGGACAAGGTACATGTATTTTTAACTATAATGCACACAGGTGAAAGACCATTCCTATACTTGTATGTGATAGAAGAATCGTATTTTGCCAAACACTATACTATTACAGAAACATCGCATCTGATTGTCCTTCCTTTTCATAAAAGGTAGCATAAGCTATAACCACCCACTATGTGTATCAATATATTACTATCATTTCCAAACGACCATTGCATAGGAACAAACAGTATGAAAACGAGAGGTTTAAAGTGCCAAAAATAGTGCTTACAAACAAGAGGTATACTGTGCCAAAAGTGCTCACGATCATTGAATCTATGGATTGAAAAATAAAACATCCGAAGACAACAAGACGAGTCAACTTGAAAGAATTTTACCAACTGTGATGCTTTTTATACCGATCAATTTATGGTTGAAGAAGTTAGCATGATTAGCTGCTTTGTGACTTTTCTGTCGTCGATGTTGAGGAATAAACCATTGGTCCCAAATGGGTTGACTGTCTTTGTCCATATTCCATGAGTCCTGTACCAAGAAAAAAAAGGGAAAAAAAACGTAAGTCCCATTGAAAAAGGTTCCAAGTCAACAATAAAAGACATCAAACTTTAATACTGGATAAATTGCGGAGATTATGTCCGGATGTCTCGAGTGACTCCCTCTTCTTTACTGGTTAGTAGTCTGGATGCCAGCTTAATTTCTTTAGCTTTTAGTAGCTTTTTAGCCTTTACGAATGGTACGCTCTCTCGGTCGCACTTCCTTACCTAAACGACTGGAGTCGCACTATCGGACCGTCATCTGATCATTTGCTAAGAATTTGACGAAGTGCGCTGATTGGCCAAACCCGAACGCTTTTCATCCAATCAGCAGCAGCCCCCACCCAGCACGAGTTGATTGAATTACATGTACCTTATTACATGACGTTATTATCAGATGGGCAGGTAATGTCTTCATGGCGGGAAAGCGACCGAGAGAGCGAACTAAAAAGGATGGTTGAACGGGGTACTCACCTTCCGAAGTGCCGCTTCAGGCGGAGGTGTAGGACAGGCGGAAGCCCTTCTTGCCCACGCTGCCGTCCGAGTTGAGTTCGAGGACCACCCGGTTGCCGGTGGACTGGAAGGTGAAGGGAGTCCGGGCGCCGCAGTAGCGCTCGAACTGTCCGCTCACGCTGTCGACGATCTGGACAGAAATTGTGTGTATTATTATTATTGAACAGTTTGGAGGTTAACATTCTGGGGTGGTGCACAGAAAGTGCTGAATGAAACGAAATGGGACGAAATGTGTTGTACGAGGTGAAATGGAAAATTTGTGCCCAAAAGTGATGGAAAAAATGAAACATAATAATAGAAAGCTATTTTCTACTCTCCAAGCAGAGGTTTGGGTTTGGGGTTATTTTTGGCCTGCGTTTAGGCTTTCTTAGTGGGGTTTCTCTTTTGAATGGGTTGGGTGAAAAAAATTCCAGTGCAAAAGAGAAACCCTGATAAAAAAGCCTAAAAACACGCCAAAAATAACCCCAAACCCAAACCTCTGCTTGGAGAGTAGCTATTTCCTTACATCTGCCAGGTTCACCTAACATTTATTCTCCATATTAAGACTAAGTGGTTAAACTTAGAAGAAGTTCGTTACTACTAATTTCATGTTTCTAAAAGGATTTTGCATTACCGTTGATAGGGAATACACATGTACAAGAAAGGCACATGTACATTGCTATACACGTATCTTCTAAAGTCCTTACCTTGAAGTCATCGTAGCCACAGTTGGCCTCGTACTCGACCTCGAAGTCCAGGACGTTGATGTTGACGGTGGTCCCAGGCTTGACGTTGATGTACCACTTACAGCGGGAGTTGCTGTCGTACTCGTTCGGGTAGTTGGGGGCCTGGATGGTGCCTGTCGGCTGGGTGATCTGGTACTCACAAGCTGGAGGACAACATCAAGATGAAACACGAATGAATGAACGAAACTCTATTGATCGACAATCATACAGAATACAATGTATGACAACAACTACATAATACGAATTTTTCCTACATTTATGACTACAAAATATTATCGATAGCAGTATAAGAGTAACATTATCTTCATGTGTGGAATGAAGTAAAAAGATGTTGGCCTATATATTGTAGGTGGATATAGAAACTGGACATATGCATGATAATAGCACATGGAAAATATCGGTCTTTGTACCACAGATGTTGAAGTGTGTCCTAGTGGTAATGTACTCTGATTCTCTTTCTACAACTGTCTTCCTCTTTCCCACGTCTTCAAAGTGATAGGCATCCTTGCGCTCTATATTACAGTATATCATATTACTTAGGCCAAGGTACCGCCCTACGTAGTTAGCTCTCTCTTTTCACTAGTGGTAGCTCTCTCTTTTCACTAGTAGTAGCCAGCGACAATAAAGAGTCGGAGGATTGTACCCAGGCTATCATATCATAGGTGTTGTTAGGTAAAACTCACAAGGTACTGGTGTTCCGGAGTCAGCGCTGGTGAAGGACAGCCTGTAGCCGTGCCCGAAGGTGCCGGACTTGGTGGCGTGCTGCACGTACAGGACGTTAGACTTGGAGGTGTAGTCTGGGTACAGGGTGGTGCCGCAGTAACGCATGATGCTGCCGCCGTCCACAATGGCGAAGTACTCTCCTGTGGACATTTAAAGTAGCAGGGGACATTTAAAGCAGCAGATCGTGCAAATCATGGCTCATTTGCGTGATAGATGAGTAAATTATAAACCCGCATTTTTTTATGCAAGAATTGCAAACGTTGGGCAACTTGTGTCATTTGGTTAGAGAAGACCATCTGCATCAACTGACAGAATTTATGCAAATGAGGGCCTTATTTGCATAACCAGACACCTTTATAATACGTCAGTCATAAAGTTTGTCATCATTTCTCTGAGGTCTGAAGTCGCGGAACTCTTGTTAATCATGTTTACCTCTTCTTCCGTTCCAAACACAAAAGATCAATGACCAGAACCAGGCGTCTGTCACCACGGTAACTAGTGTTGGGTTACATCATGTTGCATCTTTATAGCAGAAAGGATTTAGACTCCTCCCACCATATATAAATGTGTTTGAGTAAGAATCAACAAAGCCGACAATATGCGAAGGTTCTGATCGTATACAGCTGTATGTTCCCTACCTTGTGTGCAGTCGATGTTCAGGAACTCAAACTTGATGGTCATGACCTTGCCGAGAGGCACGACCAGCGCCTGAGAACAGGTGGCTCCGTTCGTCTGGTGACCAACACGGCTGACCGTGCCGGACAGGTAGGTGGCCTGCACGTCACATCCGGTCAACTGTCCTCCTGAAGATGACCAAAAACAAATAAATGAAGTTACACATGTAGATGCAGCGGATTGTCTGAGCAACCAAGAAGGATTGACGACCTTTATTGTACATTTTGCCACACTGTGCTAGATATAGATCACAACAAAAATTGATGAACAATGCAGTTACAGATACAAATTAAAACTATCAAATATGAATTAAAGATGTATATAATCTGACAACGTGTTCTTTGCCCATGACTTTCATTGTTCACACAATTGGCCAGACAAAAATATATTGCCCCTTGTTGCTTTCAAGAAGAAGGTTCATCTATCCTAAGAGGGGATTTTGTTTTGTGTTCTGTATGTGTGTTCGTACCTATAATTCATGATCCTTTTCATGGATTTCCTTAGTTGGATTTTTGTATGTCTTTAGTAATTGAGGTCTCAAAGAAACATTGTGATTTTATTGTGAGGGGACGATACACCTTCGGTCACTGGTGTGGCCATGCAAATACTACTTAGTTCATGTTTAGTAGTTACTGTTCTTGTCTGGTAAGTTCAACTTGAAGACGCAAAACTGGCCTACCTTCAGCCCATCCGCCGGCAGGAGCAGGGGTGGTGGTGGTGACGGGACGCTGGGTAACGGCGGGGCACTGCCCGGTGTAGCAGGTCTGGACCTCCGGAGGCTTGGAGCTGGAGTCACAGTTGCTGGCTTCGATGACGTAAGGAGAGTTGCTGTCCGGGCGGCAGGTCACAGTACGGGTGATCTGTCCGAACCCACAGGTCACTGAGCACTGCAAAGGGAAGATAGAGGGTTACAATAATTGATGAGAAACGACCTCTTGAGTAATGTCATCTGATAACTGAAGCAACAAAATTAGAAGACTAATCTTCTGTTGCTAGTTTGCATATATTCTTGCTGTTGGAAATCATCTGCTTATAGATAGGAATTTTATTAAAATGTGCCAAAACAGTTACTCAGCTACTAAAAGATCATAAAATACCAACGAATTGCATCCAACAGTATACAGTTTTGACATTCATTGTTTATTTTTGTGAAGTAATGATGATTCGTAAACAGTATGTAGCTTTGTAAGCTATGTAGAGAGTTATCATTGTTTGTAGCATATTTTTGTAGATACATTAGACGATACGTTTGAACCTCATTCTAACACTGCGGCAGCAACACATAGCGTCAGTACGAAGTAAAACCAGCCAGAATTATCCTGAATAAGGTAGCGGGTGGTCATCGTGAAGCGTCGACGTGTAAAACTCAACTCGTAAAACTTTGCTGGTTCTCAATAAAATAACGTTATTATCTATATGCAGAGAGTGCCTTACACTTGTCCAGGTTGTGGCCACCCACACGCCCGGGCAGGCCTCGGTGTTACAGGACATGGTGGTGGCGGGCTTGGCTGTCTTACACTCGGAGTCGGACACCACCTGATCGACCTGCCCGTTATTCCTCATGCACTGCACGAGTCTGGTCTGAGTACCGCCGCCACAGGTGGCAGAGCAGGCGCCATAGCTTCCCGTGTTCCAGCTGTTGGTACGGCAAGAAATGGGGATCTTAGTTTAAGTATTAGAAATTGACAGACCTAACAGCTTTTAAATCAGGGTCCATATATCGCGCGCATGAAGTCTTCTGGGTGGGTGGAGATTGGTTTTCAGTTGATTGACAAGGTTGTAATCCGGCATGGGTGGTAGGATGTGGCACGAGTTAGCCGGGAGTGTGTACTGTGTAATCATGGTATGAAACATAAATGAAACATGACGCCTGACGATGATCGTACAATACACTTCCAATAAATTAAAAACAACAACAAAACACTTTTCAATAGTGTGAAATCTACAATTTCCAGTTTTATAATAAGAACGTACAATGCTGGGCAGGCCTGCAGGTTGCAGCTGCGGGTCTGGGCTGATGGTCTGTTCCCTGCCTCACAGTAGGTGTCATCCACCCTGGAGCCGTCATCGTTCCTCACACACTGGACGAACAGGCTCTGGGTACCTAGCAGAAGGAAAGTACAAGACGTGAGCTGTGAAAGGATCTTTGTATATTTTTTCTCTCAAATATAACATATATATGCATAGTGATGTCAAATGTTTTGTTGAGAAATTGATATTTGCTGATTGATATCTGCCGAATCTTTCATAATATACATAAACAACAATAATATACATAAACAACAATAATTTGTTGGGATATCTTGCTGTATTCAAGGTCTAATATAGATGGGTGCATTGATGCGCAAGGTCTCATTCAATTGTCAGGCATTCAAATATAAAATACAACACATTCCATTGCCCAGGTGTCCTACACCTCCAGGTGAACACCTGTAACACCTGTACACGGTTATGTCTGTATCACCTGTTCCACATGATTCGGAACACTCCCTCCAGGTGCTATCCCAGACATACTCGACCGCCGCAAAAGAGATGACTTCCTCGCTGCCGGAGAAGGAGTGATAGATGGGGCCGAGGTAGGAGAACTCGACCTGCGGGGCCACACCTACGAACTCTGTGTCGAGGTAGTGACGGTACACCTACGGGTGGGGGATAAAGGCGGGCCGCCCATGAGCTGAGAGGTTCCCGAACCCTTCATGTTAGGAATCCGCGCAACATCAAGCCCAGAGCGTCAATATATCAGAAAAAAATGTGTATTACATGTAAACAATTGAAGGTTGTCGTTGTTCATAACCAGGTTTGAACAACTAAATTTAAAGCATTGGCCATTGATTTCAGTGACGGATATGGGCTTGATGGAGCACTGCCTGATGTTTCAATATTTCACCAGATTCGCAGAGGAAGGCTCAAAATGTGGAGTTACCAGACCCATTTTGAATTTGTCCACAAATAACATTTCCTCCACGAATCTGGTGGAAAGGTCTTCATTAGGTGCAACGAGAATCGTCCCCTTGTATTCTGGCACAGTGGATTCTATTTTGTCACTAGATCATTTTCAGACAAAACTTTCAGCCAGTGTTCAAACAGTGTTGAAATAGTTTGGTTTTGCCAGAATGAAAAGCATAACACAAGGAGACAATTCCAATGCAGGTCTTACACTACAAAAGCATTACCTGTTCCACACGTCCTACTGCAAGCCGACCAGTTGGAATCCCATGAGTAACTAACGGCACCCGCGGCACCCTCAGCAGGCTTATAAAATTCGTACTCAATCTCTGGAGCAACTCCCAGATACTCTGTGTCACTGTACAGACGATGCACCTATTGGTAGAGCAATAAGGTGCAGCCAAGATTTGGTGGGGGAAATTTTTCTTCTCACATAGCCATGTGGAAATCAACCAAGAGTGCAGGAAGTTTTTGTGCAAATCGTTTAAAGAATGATGACAAGAGCATTGTTTTGTGATACAATGTTCTGGCCACGATTCCAAAGATTCACGTTAACTCTGCACTCTTGTGATGATTTTGACAGGGCTACGGTCAGGGTTAAGAAAAACAAACTTGAAGAGTAACATCTTAAAATCCCCAAAGTAAAACCTGGCTTTCAGAAAATAAACTTACTCATGCAGGGTATGAAATAAATCAATGTTTTTTTTACAGGCGAGCAAGAAAGAAACTGTTTCAACAATATCTGTCAATTAGCAACTTTATTTTTTTTCCTAATGATTCAGGAGCTTTGAACAATTTGAACGAGCCTTCTTGTGCCAGAAGTTAAAGATATACAATTTTTTTTACAAAAACTGTAGAAATATTTTGCGAAATATCTTACGAAAACTTTGGAAATGTTGTTATGGGAAACTGTTCACTCTAAATTCTGGGATTATTACAAGGTAGTACTTTAATATTTTACCTCAGTGAAAGAGGATTACTATTGGGGATTTTACGGTGCTACTGCAGTGCAATTTAGAATGAGAACGACATGTCCTGTAACAGTGTGCGATACCAAAGCAGCGAAGCAAAGATTGTTGGTGCAATCTCGATAATATAGTAGCTTTGTATTGCATATTCTACCCGCATGCAAGAGCAAGTATAGAAATGCCTGCTGCAAAAAGCTTAGCTAAAGCTACAGGCTTTTCCTTATCGTCCATAGCAACAAGAGAACAAAATCTGGAGCAATACATCTAACTTGCAACAAAGATATTCAGTGATAACATAAAAGATACAAGCATGGATTTTCTGTCAAAAGCAATGTAACAAAAGCTAGTCGGACAACGATCTACCAACACGAAGAAGAAAACAATATAAACAACAACAACAACAATTGCAACAACAATGACATACCTGGATCTCCACCAGTGTGTTAGCAGGGACAGGGCCAGCGATGGTCAACTCTTCTGGACTCTTGGTGTAGACGATGTTCAGTCCGTCCACGAGGTACTGACCACTGTTGGCCTGGACGCCGTTGCCGCTGAAGGCATACCTACCGTTCACCCTCACGGCTACACGGGGAAAACAAAGTTTTGTCACATCATTAAATTTTGCTGCACAATTTAGCAACAGTCAGTGACGCCTCACTTCATGATGTAGCTAGAAATAAACTTATGGTTGGGAAGATTTGATAGCTGTTACAGATAGAATCCCAACTAGCTAATGCGGACTGTGTCAGGAACCTTTTATAAAATTAATCACCAATCCATTGTGAGGACCATAAGCTTAAGTTCTTAAGGTTTACTAAAACAGATAGCTGCAACATAGAAAAAAAACCGTAGCTCGCCCATTTAAAAAGAACATGAAATGTGAATGGAAATACAGCTATCCTCTCTTATTGGTCAAATCGCTAATTGCCATGCTACCATTGGTTGAACTGCTAATTATATAATTGTGATGGATAGTGAGCTCTAGGCTCGGTCGGTAGTGTGTTTTCAACTTACCCAAATGGCACCAGTAGTTGGCTTCTGTAACACTGGCAGCGGTGGATCCGGGTGGCAATGTCAGGAAGGTAACATATTCTGTGATTGAAAGATAAAAGATTAACATCAAATTAGTTTTCTTAACAGCACATTTAATCCTTTAATACTAGAAATACGTGTCAAGAGAAAAGAATGCGAATTCGCCAGAATTTGCTTCTGCGTGGGTTAAGGTTTCGTTTGATAACATCTTACGTCGTACTTAAATGGGCACCAAAAGTTTTGTTTGAATATGATCCATTCTACTTACGGTTCTTCTGGCCGGCGGTGTAGGTTCCGGACATGGGCTGGCAGGTGTTTCCGTTTCCGTCACACACGCCACAGCGGTCAAACACAGTTCCGGAGTTAGGCAGCCCATCGCAACCGAAGGTCTGAAACATCACGGTAACGCGTTAGATGTATGTCTTCCATATGTGTTTCCTTGTTCTATGGTTAAGCTGTATAATTTCAGGAATGGCTTGAAAACAAATGTTTAATGTATGTCACTTCTGATCTTTATCTTTTATTAAAGAGAAAATCGAAATTCTCCAGTCTTCATTATTTAAGTAAATCTTCCTACAAATGCCATGCGGAATTGTCTGGCATCTTTGGCAAATGTGTTTGGCTGTAAATGAACGAAGAGGTGTATGCAGTGATTTGAAGGACATGCAGTTTCTCTCTCATTGGTCGAAATGATAATTGCCATTCTCTCATTGGTTGAACTGCTAATTGTGATGGACAGACATTACTTACGACACATTGTCCCTCCACACAGATGTCAGAGTCGCTCTGGTCGTTACACCTGGTGCCGTCGATGTACTTGTCACCGCGGGAAGTGTAGATGCGAGCCTCGGGAGAGAAGCAGTAGAACTGGCACAGGTAGTCCCCTAAAACAAGCATAATATAGATATTTGCCATGTACCTTTGCCATGTCCAGCTTCTATATTCTCCATAGGTCAATTACAATATCTTTGTACATGTACTTTATTCCTAAAGCAAGATCGAATCATCCATAAAACTGATATCGATGATATTTTGTTGTCATTAGTGTATGATAAAATCGTATTTTAGTATTGTTTAATAGTTGATGCCATTAATTGTACCATGTACGAGTGTCGATCAATAAAGTCCGTTCGTTCAGTAAGATCACGTGCTAGAAGTGAGTGGGTCAGTACACAGGACGATGGCTCCACTGAATATTGATAAACGTTTGTTAACCATGTTTAAAAAATTGATTTTAAACTTTGATAAGAATGAGGCATTTATGTAAGCATCAGCAAAATTTGAGATTACGGATAAAATTTGATAATTAAATAGTCACAAAGGTGTTAAAGCTGTGTATCTTTTGTCGGTGACTGTCAATGGCGAATGGTAGTGTACGGCGAAAGGTGGGATGCTACCTGAAACGTCTAACCGTTTTCAAAATCTATTCAGTTGCCAGAGTTATGTAGTGAAGTGTTGTCCAGGTTTACCTGGAAGTGCCATGTACGGTTCCCATGTGTAGAACTGCCCATTGAAAGGCTGGTTGTTGGTGGCCGCGCACTGCTGGGCACGGAACTCGGACTGAGACACTGCACACGGCTGGGAAAGAGAAAAAGAAGGAAGATGCTATCAAAATAGAAAAGATAATACAGGCCTATCGATATGGAAATCACCAACAGCAACAAAAGTAGCACCCGCTTGCATGATAGACTGATCCTGATGCTCCACCCACCTACATGCATCATATGCAAAATGAAACTATTTAATGGCGTGATGCCGCTCTCTCATTGGTCGAACCGACAATTGCCATCCTCTCATTGGTTGAACTGTTAATTATATTGTGACGGACAGTCATGTTTGGTTTATAAGTAGCATGATTTGAAGGTAGTTTGCTACTGACCTGGGTGTTACACAGTTGGAACATGGTGTCATCTCCGGAACAAGGAGCACCTCCGTGCTGGGGCCTGGACAATGGAGAAATGAAATCAAACATAGATTCTATAATAGAATGTAAACTGTAATAGCAAATAGACAAAAAAATGTGCAGTTTTGTGCCTAATTCACTATTTCATACTTAAGCACTTAACAAACCTTCCATCTAATATCAGATTCTGTTCTCTTATTTCTGACTGAAAAGCGAGATATTGTCTCTACTTACTCGGGGTTGTTGCAGTAGCGCCTCCTGAACTGCACACCGGAACCGCAGGTACGGCTGCAGGTGCCCCAGCTGGTCTCCCAGGCGGACCACCCTCCGTCCACAGCCTGGGGGCCGTTGGTTCCGTACGCCACACAGGTGCCACGGACACACCACTGGGACAACGGAATGGTAAACATCGGTATGCGCAACTAAAGACAATGTATTGATGTCTTCAGATAGTATTTAGTTTTCTTAACCTCGAAGGTACGGTTGTATATCCTTATAATTTCATAAAAAGGATGGGCTGGTTACTTTTTAAAGGGTATCCGCTAGAAGGGTCAAATCTGAGGGAGTGCTGATTGTCGGCGAGATTTGGACAAAAAGTTTGCAGTGGAAGATGCTAACAACGACCAAATCACGATGATGCCGTAGCAGGCTGTGACAGAACGAACCTTCGACAAGGCAGCCTTTTCGGTAACAAGACAGCGGAATTTTGGCTACGCACTGTATGATGTATCCCTAAACCTCATATTTCAATCTTACTATTATCGTGCGACGATCGTACAACGTGCGTGACAGGGTCCCAAACCTACCTGCCTGTCTCCGCATGCTGTGCCGTCCAACATCGGCTGCTTGTTCGAGCTACAGCTCATGTCGGAAGTGACGTGACAGAACAGCTTGGCGCAGAGGTCGCCGTTCCCGCCGGTGGGGTCGAAGCGGCACTTGTAGGCGTTCCCGCCGTACGCCAGGCGGCACTGGTCGTCGGCGGTGTAGGTCTGACCGGGCTTCATGTTGGGATCCATGGTGATGCCGGAATAGGTCGGCCGGTCGAACAGGCACTGTGCTTGGTAGGTGCTAGAGAATGAAACACAAGTCATCAGCACGGCAGTCCCGCCACGGTTAGCGAAACAACGATGTCATCAACATGCCAATATAGTAAAACGTTAAACTTTATTCCAACACACTATTTACAGGGATCAAATTTTCAGCGACTACTGTCGCCTTCATCAGGATAATTAATGACCAATCACTTCACAACGTGATCTCGCGAGAGTTACGGTTTACAAACACGTGACTTCACTCACACGAGACTTTACTGATACGTGACGTAAGCAATTGATCAAAAGTGCCAGGGAGTTTATATCGTCCACCATCTCTATTAAGTGAAGGCTGAAGTGCTCTGATATATATAGCCTCCTTAATGCCTCTTAGCAAGTAGTCCTGTTCAGTGTCCAGTATTCTAACTTTGTCCAGAGAGACTGTGTGGCCCGGTGATTCGATTCAGCCTTCACTTAATAGAGATGGTGGACGATATAAACTCCCTGGCACTTTTGATCAATTGCTTACGTCACGTATCAGTAAAGTCTCGTGTGAGTGAAGTCACGTGTTTGTAAACCGTAACTCTCGCGAGATCACGTTGTGAAGTGATTGGTCATTAATTATCCTGATGAAGGCGACAGTAGTCGCTGAAAATTTGATCCCTGTAAATAGTGTGTTGGAATAAAGTTTAACGTTTTACTATGATTACTACCAACACAGATGAACTTTCATGATAACATGCCAATATCATAGGATACAGAAATTGGAAGTTCTGATGCAGTACCATCATCAACCTTGACCTACAGAAGGTCCATCATCAACCTTGACCTATAGCGCTACACTGCAGTAGTATCTCAGCGGTGGTATCTGCACTACACTGGTGCCTAGCGGCGGTATCTACACTACACTGGTGGCTAGCGGCGGTATCTACACTACACTGGTGCCTAGCGGTGGTATCTACACTACACTGGTGGCTAGCGGCGGTATCTACACTACACTGGTGCCTAGCGGTGGTCTCTACATTACACTGGTGGCTAGCGGTGGTCTCTGCACTACACTGGTGGATAGTAAGCATAGTACTGGTGGCTTGCGGTGGTATCTGCACTACACTGGTGGCTAGTGGTGGTACATGTATCTTCACTACACTGGTAACTACACAGGCGTCCTCCTCTGTACCTGAGGAAGTCTTCGAGCTGGGTGGCGCTGCAGGTGGACCACTCGTAGGCGCTGGTGCCTGACACGCTGGAGGTGGCCATGACGTTCACAGAGTCTCCGCAGGAGTTACCGTCTCCGTCGTGGCGGATTCCCAGACTTGGGAGGAAAATAAGGCAAAGCTATGTTTAGTGGATATAATTGAGGACATTTGAGGCCGATATAAAAAGGCAATATGTTTCTGGTCATTTCTTTACAAAATAAGTTAAATCAACTCTTCTCCATTGCAAATAAGTGTCATCCGAGCGCGTTTAAAAGCTAGAAACACAGCTGCCATTCTTGTTTGTTTACGTTCCAGTAGTTTGTGGTGGCACCACAAATAAGTGCACCTCGTGTGGGTTGTTTATTAGCGCCAATCATAAATGTCAGAAATGTGAAATGACAGCACAAATATGTGTTGAAAAGTGGAAGTAAATGACAATCACATGAACATTTTTTCCAATTGAAATATTTCAGTTTTGGTTGAGAGAAATGCTACATAATGTCCTTCTAATGTCAAGAAGTGTTGTGACTTATGTTTAAGGGTGAAACGAACACACTAGTGCCTTACTTGTGGCCAGTCTCGTGAGCAATGGTGAAGGCGACGTGGAGACCGGAGTCCTCGTTGACGGAGCAGTGACGGGAGTCCACACAGGCGGCGCTCAGCTTGGCCAGACCCAGGATACCAGGATCGCCGTACCGGGTCAGGTCAGTCCTGCAAGGCAACAACGTAACGAAGTCGTATGGTGGTCCCAGTAAGGTATGCGCGCCACATAGCGGTTTATATGCAAAATGCAGACAACACCTTTGTCGTGCATGGCCAAGGTGCTGTTTCATGTAAGGGTATTGAGTACAAAGGATGTACAAAGAAAGGTATTAACTTTCCATATTCTATATATATGACATAACTAGCTGTTGGTTGTTAAACGTTTTATTGATTGAGTAGGTTCCTACATGTGCTACAAGCAAAAAAAAAAAGAATAGCAAACCTGGTGATGAGAGTAGCCACGTCGTAATGCTGATGGTCGCTCTCACCGGGCTGGTGCTGCTGCTGCCAGTAACAGAAACTGTCCAGCAGGGTCGTGGCATCGTTAGAGATGGACAGTCCAGACTGTACAACGGGTAAAGTTGTATATTTTGAGTATAACAATGAAATCGAAGGTTTCGTTTTCAGACATCCGGAAAGTGTTTTGGAATTTTGTGACTGCATTTCATTCGTAATGTGGAAATGCCCGATTGAATTACATCATAAAATGGATTATCAATCGAATCATTGTATGACTCCGGTATTACACCATGTTTCATACCACCCAGGGCATGCCAGGTCACAACGATATGATTTAATTGAACCACTGAGCTTCCAATCCTTATTACTCCGGACAAGATACATACAAACTCTCACTACAACAGAGCCACCCAAAACAATACTTTCGTCCCGGAAGTGAATTAGATTGGAGTGATTTAGTATATATGACAAAACGTGTCAAACAGTGTAGTCGACTTTGTGAGGTGAATGAAGTGCGACCTGACCTGGTCTGTCTCCAGGACGATGAGTTTGACCACGTGAAGGGAGATGTCGGTGCCGATGGTTCCGTCGCGGTACAGGCTGGCAGCCTGGAGATGGAAGGGAAGGCAGAATTTCAGTCTGAATTTTTCTCGGACTGTGAAGACATTGAACAGGTAAACGTATCACCTCGACTTTTGGGTTATACCTGAGGATAGAACTGGTTACGATATCGGCCATCTTTAAAGAATGAGAAGAATATTACAAACAAATTATTATGCATTGCTTGTTTATGGTTTTCCTTTCGATTATGGTGACAAACAATTATAAGTCCCGTATCAATATAACGTTTCTTATGTTGATAAAGTTATTGGCTATAAAATATCAGCTGATAATCGTGACTGTCACAGCAATATCAACCAAAAAGAAGACATTGCTTTATGAATTAACTTGTTCTACGGTATCATTCTATTTAGACATGGCAACGTAATTTAAGCCCGATTTTCTTCATCACAGACGGCGTACTTACCACGTTCATGGCTGTCAGGACGTAGTTCTGCACGTTAGAGCCGTGGTACTGGTACATGGACTTGTCTGCCACGATCATCATCTCCACGTACGGGCGGTAGTTGTTACGGAACCCGCTCTCATCGCCGTTTGTCGTGAAGTCCATGCTGCGGGACATCTTTTCAGGGGCGCTGGGAAAAACATGAAGATTCATTAGCATGAAAGTGTACACTCGGGTCAACCGTCCAACACTGAACAGAGACGGGGGGAGACACAGGTTATCTGACACGTACGACCCTTTGCTGCAATCACGTGTTTCCGACGTCCCGTCCCAGAAGCTGCAGTAGACGGGTCCAATCCGTGAACAAGGCTGATGAAAATTTCGGTAAGTCCCATGGCCAATTTACTAAGTTAGTGTTGGACAGAACGTTTAGCTTTTTTGTCATCTGATATTGATATTGTTTTACCTTGCCCTGACGAACTGGATTGGGCGGGGATCCTCCACCTCAGGTTTGGGCGGCGGGCCCAGCTCGGTCAGCCCGGGGGTAAGCGGCTCGTTCTCCTGCTGAGTGACGTTTGGCTTCTGGTGGACAGTGATGGATCCTGTCATGGGGACAACAACATTACGACATGAACTCCAAATACATGTAAATCATGGAGCTTTCACCACCATAGCGAAACTGTGTTTTAAATACGCCTTCAATATGAAATTGATATGTAGCTGCAATTCCGCCAGAAAACTCCAACTGCAATTATTTTGTCGATCCTCAAACCACCAAAAAGCAAACCACACCAAAACTTTATCCCTGTTTACGATCATGAATGAATGATTGGATAAAGGACTGGTTTATTTTGTTTAACGCCCACCTGTTGACCAACAACAGCTGAATTACGAGGTTTAGGTACTAGTACATAAAGACGACCTCCAAGAAAATTTAAACACAAGTTTATATACAAATGCAATACAGATCAAATTTCGTAAAAATCACTACTGACTAATAACCAAACACCTGCAGCTCGAACTAAAAGTCGCCAGAGGGCGTGATTGTACTGCTTACCGTCCTCGTGTTGCTCCACCTGCAGGTGCGCGCCGAAGGTGTTGTCCAGCCTGCCCAGGTCTCCGTCCGGGTACACGTCCGTGAAGTGCACCACCTCCTCCTCACGACGGGGCTCCGCGGCCTGCGGCATGTCATTGTCCAGGTCGTAGTCATTCATGTAGTCAGTTCTGAAGGGGTAGAAAAAAAATTGATTAGCATTAAAGTTCACAAGAGTTGGTAAAATTACATAATGAAAAATTAATATATTCTCCAACTCGGAATTTTTGACCGAATCTCTAACCCAAGTGTTATAGACACTGGGTCAAAAAGCTGACGAAGACAATTCCAGTGAGTCAATTTCTTAAAGCAAGAATGAACTATTATAAATTCTTACATAAATCTGCATAGAGCACTATCTAAAAACTACACAGAAAAATATATCATCTTTAGCTAAGAGAATGATATCTGTGTAACTGTCTTACCTACAATTTACGAAGTGTTGCGGCGTAAAAACTTTTCTCATGTAATAAAATTGCAGTGAAAAAACATAGAACTGCGCTAGGCCTCTGAATGCAACAACACAATAAACAAAACCAAGCAACCACCCCCTCCCTTACATCTCCCCTTCCATGTGAAGAACTGGAATGGAAGAAGAAGAGGAAGAAAAAGAAGAAGACTTACTGTCCCAGGTTCCTGGCCTGCTTGTAGACGATGTGTTCCTTCTCCTCCTGGGTGTCAGTCGACCTGCGGGAGCGGCGCTTCTCCGCGTGCTCCTTCTTCAACGGTTGGATGAACAGGGTCACGTCATCATGGGTCAGTACACCGGCCTGGGGGGAGGAGGAAAATGTTTGTTGTTCGTAGTTACAAGATGGCAACCGGAAGGTTTCAGAATTCCAACATGACGGCGCCCGTGGATGGAGGCTAAAACAAAATAGGTTTTCACTTACGTCAAAACTGTAGAAAACATTGTCTACTTTCGAAATTTCCTACTACAAATCACACCGTTCAGTGATTGTTTTCCTCATTATACTGCTATTTCAAACGACGTGCGTTCGATTTTAACATCTTTTTCTAACAACGGTAAAGGAATGGACCAATCAGAGATTGTTTCCTTAAATGCCGTTGCCTTCTGTGTCACAGTTAGTGCGTCTATTTCTGTTGTATACGTAGTGTCTATTTTACACAGCACATACAATAAAACTTGATGTGCTATTGGAGGAACAACAACAAAAACAAGGAGAAGTCGTAGACATCGTCCCTCCATGAAATAGCTTGTTATTTTGTAATTTTTTGGTGTATCTTAATAGAGATATTATGAGTCAAACTTTGTTTTTATCAGCAGAATGATAGATGTCTATAGATGTCTATCCTTTAAGAACTTTGTTGTGGCACTTCACAGATGACCCAGTTCCCTGCTGAATGACCGATTAAAGATAAGATATATTTCCTGCAGACACTGGTCTAGAGATAAAAATAGATTGGCCTGACCTGCCAGCTGGAGGTATAAACAAAAACACTCTGTACCAATTTGGGGTCAAACAGACCATCCTATTATGAAATAGGGGTGAAAATGTGAAAATCCTTTTAAATAAGCAATCCAAATCTACCACAACCTGCTAATGCACGCTAAAACGCAAAGACAACCAGCGTCTACCCACATACCAAAAATGATCGCCAACCATCCACCGGGTTCTGAGATCATTCAACGCAAACAATCTGACATTGAGATAGCAATTCCGGTTCAAAGCAAACAGCTAGGGGGCCCAAATTTACATCAGTAAACCATTGTAACCACAACTACATGCTACCTTAGCATCGCACACACAGACCATAACGTGCCAACAATAGAATAAAAAAATTAAACTGCAGTACCAAGGTCAATCACCAGGTGCTCAAAGTCAACCTACACAATCTCCAAGGCCCCATCCATCAATCTGCCAAATATCATACAGTTCCTTCTCACCGATCTTCAGATATCAGACCAAACATGAAACGGAGTAAAAACAATACCCCCCATTTACATGGAGGGTAAAAATCAAAAGTGACGTAAAAGGATCCGCCCCTGAGGCCCCGCCAAAAAAAATGAACACAAGAACTCACCAATCCCTCGCAGGTGCTGACGGCCACCACAGAGTGCTTGTGAGACAGCAGTTCTCCCATGTAGTAGCAGTGACTGTCCAGCGGCGTCTCTCTCTGCTCGCCGTCCTCACCGATAAACGTGACGTGGAACTCCGCAGGGAGCAGGTCCACATTGTGGTCCACCTGGGCAAAGAAACATTATTTACCATTTTTATTCCTATTCAAATTGTTCGGTGGAAAATACCGCCAAAGCTGCCCAATTAGCCAATAAATAAAATAAAATAAAATCAAACCAAATCATATTAACATAGAAATTAGTAGTATGGTATTAAACGTTCAAGTTTATTGACCTTTCTATCCATTTGCTCAAAAGAATCTTATACATTTCATTCTATGTAGAAATCTAGTATTATATCGTAACAATAGGCAACCTTACATCGTTGAAATAGGTAAATACGTATCAGAGGTTTATATCGAAAACTAAAAAGGAGGAAATAAGAGAAAAAGCACAAGAACTGCTATATAGAAAATGAATAGCTCCGACGTTATCACAAAATCATCCGTTTCTCCCTCCTTGGCGCCAAATTTTGAGAAGACTTGGGATTTCTGTCTCACCTTGAGATGGTAGTCCTCGTCAAACGCCTTGAGTTTGTACTGGAGAGAGTTGACCTCCTTTCCGTCAGCTGAGCGCCGTGTCCGCCCACTGGAGTGTAGAGATGGAGAGACGATCTCGTACTCTGGGACTGGAGCAAGGGTAAAGAACACGGGTTAACTTTGTAGCCTTGTAACGGTCTCACAGCGCCACCTGACGGTATTTTCAAAAATCGCATTGCACTGAAAACACCAATGCAATGCGTTGACAAATCGCTAGGAGAAAGTCACCAGTAACAGGATGTCATTTACGGAAAGCCATTCAGAGATTCGCAAAGAAGCGTCACGTGTATCAATCTCACTGTTTCCTTGGTGTTACCAACCTATAGCTTTCCTCTTTTCTTTCATAACAACAACTTACCATGTTCTCTTATGGCGGCGCTTAGGCATGAAAATATACTAAGTAATTCATCAATAAAGATGAATTTAATCCCGTTGAATAGACCCTTGACTTCTTGACTTTGAAGGATGAGGTACTTGAAAAAAATATTAATGGCATGAAAAAAATAATTCAGATACTATTTTTGCGCGCTTTGTCACACCCACGGCTTGTTGCATCTGACACTTGGCCGTGTGTGTATTGACTCAGTAGACATATCACCCTTCTCTGTGGAAATGAGACCGACAAAGGCTGTCTCTTGCCGATTGGAAAACAAACACTACAATTATTGTAGTCATCTATTTGTTTTCGTTTTATTAGGTCTTATGTCAACATATCAGACTGAGTTGTGTACCCTATATCCCTCAGACGAGGACGTTTATTTGTGGCAATACACATGAGAAATTCACCGCATCATTCAGTAACTTGTTCGCTACAAACTGTTGTTATAAGCTGAAAAGTTTGTTGACACTGCATTTATATGTGCACTTCTAGCATGCCATGGTCTACAGCCCTTGTTAGCCGAATATGGCCTACCAAACACTGCCAAATCCCACCAAACATACTTGGGACTAGCCTCTACCAGGCTTCGGGAGGCGACTGGAAAGAGTAGAAATCGGCCAAATAGAGAGATAACATGCCAGGGGAGTTTGCCGCAACCGAAGCCTGTCGGGGGTCACTACGATCAAACGGTATAAAATCAATCACCTCATTATCTCAGCAAGAACTATCTCAGCGCAGAAGATCATTTAAGCATTCGGGTGCGGCAAAATGTTCCCTCACAGCAGACAAACTTCCCTGGCATGTTATCTCTCTATTTGGCCGATTTCTTCTCTTTCCAGCCGCCTCCCGAAGCCTGGTAGAGGCTAACTTGGGAGTAGGTTGGGAGCAAGGTCGGCTGTGGTTGGCTGGTGATCGGGGAGATCGGCTCCAGCCGAATGTTTCAAAATGTTTCAGACATTCAGGTGTGGACGGGACGTTCGGCCTTGGTTGGCTTGTGTTTGGGACCGTGTGCGAAGGTCAAATTTGACTCAAATTTAACTCAAATTCGATTAGATTCGTAAAGAAAGGTAGTCGTGGCCTAAATCTGGCCAGACTGCTCCAGAACGTCAGCCAACCTCGGTCGGTTGGTGGTCGAGGAAAGGTTCTGAATGTGTGACAGGGGCTTAAACTAAAAACTACTTGTTGCAAACACACAGTGCGACCTTTAACGTTATAAATCATCTGTCGCTCATGATTAAATGGCGATTGATACCGTAAACGTGAACTACTAGTCGACCTAACGGAACTACAAGCCAATTTGTATTTTCAAAGTGTCTTGTTCGTTTATTCTGGCCCACACAAGTGCCATCTTTGCCGCATTTTTCTTCCCGATATGAGGGATTACATGGGGAGAACGCAGTCTACACCCGAGGAAAGAATAAACACTTTGTAAAGTTAGTTATATTGGAACAGACTATTGACGTCACAGACAGCCTTTGAAATCTCGGTATCGCAAAAACATCTATGCAGGGTTTGGCAACTTAAATAGCAAAGTCACAAACTTGCTGGTGTAAACCCAAACAGCACCCATTTTGGCCAGGCAATTGCACAACGATGGCGTAGTTGATGGTGGGTTAAAAGCGACTAATTGTCTGTTTGTTGGTCTCAGGAATTATAATCTGGATACTTGAGACGTTTCTTTCTCCCATTACGAATTGTCTTCGTGCGGGACAGCACCAAATAACGCATAATTTAACTCAATTTGGTGCTGATTACGGCAAAACATGCTCATGATATATCATGTTTGGTGTCTATCTTTAGCGAGCTTGTTTGGAATACAGTGTCCCGTATTCAATGCCACCAGTAGTTCTAGTACTTCTATATTGGCCTAGCGTCTACTGGATCGATAAAGTGAACTAGAGCTACTGTGAAATTATATTAGCCGCGCAAAACTACATCACAGAAACAAATCGCTTCTAGTTGTATGTGTCCTGCTATGCTTTCCTTCCCTTCTGGGATGGGAGGTTTGACTCATGCTAGCCATAGTTTTTCAAACGTCTTGTAAACGCTTTTTTTTCATTGTAAAAATGGCTGCGAGAAAATAATTATAAGTTGTACCTAACTTGAGTTCGCAGTCACTTAGTCCATGTCCTTTTATTTGTATTCATCACTGTGCTTCTGAATAAAAAAAAAAACTAAAGCTACACAACTTATTGATCGTGACAGAAAGCTTGCGATTGATGATACCTTTGCTAAATGTCGCGTTATACACATCGTACGATCGTCGTGCGACCGATCGCAAACTGAGGGCATTCTTGGAACAGTCGTGTAAATGTCGTACAAAGTACAGCTACCCTGTTAAGGAACCGTCTTAGATCCTCGTCGGCGATTGGCTCTGTCACATCCTGCCTGAAAATTCTACGACACCAAAATCTTACGACGACCTACGACAAAACATCAAAATCGTGCGAATGGGTTACGACAATTGTGACCGCACCGTAAGTTATTCGTCACGAGTCCTTCCCGACAGAGTAAAAATGGGTCTCCTCAATTTGGTCAGTGGAAACACAGCCCCTGTCTTATCTACCCCGTCTACAGTATATTGTGGAATATCTTAGCAACGTTAATGACCTTGTTTTGTTCGTTGTACGGAGCGAAGCGAACTTTTGTGCTCAAGTTCTAAACAACGACGGGATTATCGCGTTTTTAACATGTCTTGTCAAACAAAAGCACTCAGTGATAGTCTGCCGTGGCTCTGTTGTAAAAGTAACAATACAAAAACCAAAACGTGGTTCTATGCAAGTTATCGAAGAAGAAGTACAATTTATCGAAGCAGAACTACAGGTTATCGAAGCAGAGCTACAAGTTATCGAAGCAGAAGTACAAGTTATCAAAGCAGAAGTACAAGTTATCGAAGCAGAAGTACAAGTTATCAAAGAAGGACTACAAGTTATCAAAGCAAAGCTACAAGTTATCGAAACAGAACTACAAGGTGTCCAGTCAGAACTACAAGTTATTCAGTCAGAACTACAAGTTATCCAGTCAAAACTACAAGTTATCCAGTCAGAACTAAAAGTTATCCAGTCAGAACTACAAGTTATCCAGTCAAAACTACAAGTTATCCAGTCAGAACTACACGTTATCCAGTTAGAACTACAAGTTATCCAGTCAGAACTAAAAGTTATCCAGTCAGAACTACAAGTTATCCAGTCAAAACTACAAGTTATCCAGTCAAAACTAGAAGTTATCCAGTCATAACTAAAAGTTATCCAGTCAGAACTAAAAGTTATCCAGTCAGAAGTACATGTTATCCAGTCAGAACTACAAGTTATCCAGTCAGAACTAAAAGTTATTCAGTCAGAACTAAAAGTTACACAGTCAGAACTACAAGTTATCCAGTCAGAACTACAAGTTATCCAGTCAGAACTACACGTTATCCAGTTAGAACTACAAGTTATCCAGTCAGAACTAAAAGTTATCCAGTTAGAACTACAAGTTATCCAGTGTCAGAACTACAAGTTATCCAGTCATAACTACAAGTTATCCAGTCAGAACTAAAAGTTATTCAGTCAGAACTAAAAGTTACACAGTCAGAACTACAAGTTATCCAGTCAGAACTACAAGTTATCCAGTCAGAACTACACGTTATCTAGTTAGAACTACAAGTTATCCAGTCAGAACTAAAAGTTATCCAGTTAGAACTACAAGTTATCCAGTGTCAGAACTACAAGTTATCCAGTCAGAACTAAACGTTATCCAGTCAGAACTAAAAGTTATCCAGTCAGAACTACAAGTTATCCAGTCAGAAGTACACGTTATCCAGTCCGAACTACAAGTTATCCAGTTAGAACTACGAACTACAAGTTATCCAGTCAGAACTACAAGTTATCCAGTTAGAACTACAAGTTATCCAGTCAGAACTACAAGTAGTTATCCAGTCTGAACTACAAGTTATCCAGTCAGAACTACAATTTATCCAGTCAGAACTGCAGAAGGTTTTGAAAAAATATGTTCCGAGGAAATATTGCTACACAGAATAATTATTCCAGGAAAGATTAGATTTTGCTACTGTTAAAGTTAAGAGCGACAATATGGAAGGAAAAACAAGGCCAAACCGACTTAAGTCAGGCAACCTTCGCCTTATAGCCTATTCTAACACATCAATGCCACCTTTGTTGCACTTAACATGCAATCCCTACCGGGCACCGCCGCTATTTATCTCCAGGTCGGCTCCAGAAATATTTCCACAGAACCACATCAAAGTAGCTGTTTGCAACGCATTTGGCCATCAACCGTGCTATTCCATTAAAATCTGACGTCACTATAGACCGTTATCTGTCCCCAGACTTATCTTATCTCGTAGTACATAGTCCGTATCACTGCTCCAGTGTCTATTGGACTCGAAACGAGTGTATCGATTAGTAATTAGCTTGTATCAGTGAAATTAGTATTCGACACACCAATAGAGTACTTTGTTTTGGATTACTTTGTAGGCGTTCCTTGTGTGTTTTTGTTGTAAACTGTGATATCACAATCACGGTGGTCCTTCGGATGTTAAAAGACAATCCTCAGTAGTTGTTTGTTATCTAAATTACTGGCGTATAATTCATTGTCATAGTTCCCATACGTGTGACTGATAATGTTATAAACTTTCAATAAACTAATTAGAGATATAATAAACAGCATTTTATTAAGCCCAGGAAAAATAGTATTTGAGCAACCGGAAAAAGGGATTTGCAACATTTAATCCATGGGTTCTGATTGACTTATTTGGTGTGCTAGCGACTAATCCATTTCAAATATCCTATAAGTCTACCTTTGTCTATAGCAAATGTACTCTTCGTCGGTATAGGTACCAATTATAGCAGAAACAAATCATTTTATAACTCCATAATCTTTATATATGTGGTACAGAAAGAATGCAAAACCCTGGCATCCTATATCAGTGACAAATTGTTACAAATCGTACGGAGTATGACGCAAATAAGCTCCATTTATATTTCTGAATGTAGCCATTTGTAAGACATGTATGATGAAATGTTCATGACATCTGTGCAATGTTATATTTCCGACTGCACTCTGTTGTCTACTGGTACAGTGTTATCATTTTTACCAGGAATGAAACTGTCGAAAGCAACAACAACTGACCGGTGTCTTTGCAACAGAGAGCAAGTTTGAATTCAATTTGTCACACTGATATTTATTGAAACTATATCATAAATGTCGTTCTCTTTGAAAAATTGTCGCCTGTTAGATCGTTTGTTCAAATTAATGTCAATATCACGTCATATATTTCGAAAAAAATGACGTAGTGCCAAAGGATCGTGTTAAGGCAGTAAAGAATATCTTTGTTTCTCACCACTGAACAATTTTGATCTCATAAGACGAACGTATATGTATATACAGCGGCGGTTTTTGCACAATTGCCCCCAAGCGTGTTTGCTATGCGAACGTTCGGTCGGCAAAATGTTACAATGAGTCTATGTCAAATTCAGAGCACCAAAGAAAGCCCATGTCACGCATTCATGAATATTAGCCAAACACTAGCTGAGCGCCTCAATCGTGGTAAGGTGGGTGCAAAGTCGGGTGGTGTCTGGCGAGTTCTGCAGCAGAATGTTTCAAAATGTTTAAAGTTGGTCGCGAGGTTCGGCCAAGGTTGGCTGATTTTCGGCCGACCATTCGGAAGAAAGTTTAATGGTATTATTTTAAAAGGCGTGTTCAAGGGTCGAACATGACTCAAATTTAACTGAAATCCGTTTTGATTCGTATAGAACCTGGCCGGCTGGTGTTCGGGAATAAATTTGGGAGAAGGTCGTGAGTTTAGTCTGGTTTACCAGACCTATTTTAGCTCCCGAGTCTTTATCCTCTTTACGGATAGGATGAAAACTAGGGAGCTAAAATAGGTATGGTAACCAGGCTACGTTAGTGTGTTTAGCCTCCATACGCCTTCCCAAATGTTGTATGCTAAGCAGAGAAATCAGTATATACCATTTTTAAATGATTCTTTAGTGTGACTCGACCGGGGATCGAACCTACGAACGAGCGAATGCAAGGCGATTACTATATACACTTGGCTATCGTACAACAAAACTAGGGGCTGCCAGTTTAAGTCCCCGGTACCCGGAACCGAACCTCCTAGTGTACGTGCTTATAGAGAGTATACATTGTCCTCAGACTTTTCATGACGTTCACCGGTTCGTCTCACAACGTAAACTTTTTCATTCGTCACTGACAAAAATATGCTTCATCGTCAAAATGCAAGACAGTGTATATTCTCTCAATGATTATGTTTGTGTACGTAGACTCATTTGACCAGGTGCACATACATTAAGATCCTTATTTTTGCTCCTCAACACTTTCAAGATATCCTGTTTCTGCAGCCAAAGTCCAAAGTTGTTTTTGAACCGTGGTTAGCGAGTCAGACGATACAAATGTACGTGAGCGGCGACCGTGATCAGATACGGTTGGAGGGCTAACATGGGGGGTCCGAGTACTGGAATGACACTGACTAAACGTGCCCCTTGGGGCACTCGTATATCTTTGGAAAAGCCTTAAAGGCTTAAGGATTTGGACACCTGGGCGGAAGAAACGCGCACGTACCGTGGCAAAGGTGACGATACGTCATTTCAAAAGTCCTTACCCGGGAACTATTTTCACAATGCAGGTGTGCGAAAGGGCACCGATAGACCCCCGTGGAAGACATTAGTCATTCAACCAACCAGAAGCGTCAAGATAAAGATTACCCGGTCTCCCGGGAGATCACTCCGCGCCTCACAAATTCGCTTCATCCGGGGAAAGAAGCTACAGTTATAACACCGCCCCTGCTATATAAAATCCTCACATCGCGACATTTTAAGAAACATGCTGTCTACAGTTCCTACTTCAAGTGGTTATAAATCCCATAACTTCTATTTACTCTTCTAAATCACTATTGACACACGTGGGTGCATTTTCATCCTCGAATTTGGTGACCATAGCTTCAAACTATAGCCCATTATTCAAACTGTCTCTTCAAAATGTGAAATCATATACACAGGATGACAGAGCTAGCATATCTAATTAAGCTTTTAAAGTGGCGTTTGTAATTCGGAGATTTTATTGCATGCGTACATTTCACCATCTGCCGATGGCACAAAGCACTACGGGGGCAACTTTGTACAAAAATCTGACATGCAAAAAATCGTGAAAAGAATAGCACATATTTGCATATTTGCATTCCCTTATGGAAACACCACTATGGCCCACCTTGTGTACACGGCGAGGTGTACCCATGATCAGGTGAAAGTACGATCAAGTATGCATGTCTGCTTACCTTCGTCCGAACTTTGAACACCAAAGTAGTGGGCCAGGTCTTCGGCCGTCAGATCTTCGTGAAACTGGCGAGAAAAAAATAAGTAGAACGTTTAATATATTTTCAAAACCTGGAAAATACAATGAACACAGACGGTTATTCTGGAAGTAGTAACCACGTGACACGACTAGGGACCAGGAAAATCCCCAAGTCTTTAGGTCGAGCAAACAAGGCTCTTGTAGGAGGCATATCTCACCAGGAAACCACTAAACAATTATCTTAGAGTGCTTGAGAAAGTTTGCCGAATGCCTGGGCATTTCCAGGTAGCTCTACGTGACCACACGTCGTGATAGAGCGTAGTTGCACGTTGCGGTGAATGTGGCGGTAGCTTTATATATACTTAGTGCGCCCTTGACAGACTACGCTGATCATGTCCCGTAGTACGTATTGTTACGGTACAGACAGCCAGACAATACTGGGGCGCCCGCCGGCTATATTTAGAGTTCCAGCTCACAAGAAAACTAGCTAACTTTGAAGTAAAGTCGAAGTCTATGCACAGAGAAGCAAACATACATGGTATGTATGACGAACATTTTAAAAACACACGGAACCAGCGCACCATCAGGCATTCAAAGTTGAAAGGAGAGAGCACAGGCTATAGAAATAGATTTCTAAACAAATGGCAAAAGAACGTTCAAGGTATAGCTGATTGAACTGGGCATTCTCTTACTCAAACGAAACGACTCCGAAGAGAATCTTTCAATTTCAAGGCGTCAGAATGTACAGGTGTGACGTGTGATCGACAAAGTAGAAAATGTATTGTATTCAGGACAATGCTTTCCCCAGAGCCATGCACGGTTCTGGATAGTCCACGCGTATCCAGAACCCTGCTTTGGGCAAGCTTAAGTTCTTGGATAAGCGGAGGCTATATAGAGCCGTGCTAGACCCTAACCCTAACTCTAATCCTAACCCTAAACCAAAGATCATAAACTCACCTGAGGTCTGGCCAGCGCCAGGGCGGCGAGGCAGAGGAGGGTTGTTACTCGCAGCATGTCGCACCAGCGCTGATTCACACGTCTGTCGAGCAGAACAAAAACTTTCAAAACTAAACAAAAAAAACTTTTCTAAAGAGTGCTGTTGAGAACAAACAGCTGCGCCGGTGACTACTATAATACTACTATGATCCGCAACGTAAAATGCTGCTTCGTCGGTTTACAGAGTGGTATCAGGAATGTTTCTTGGTCGCGACGCGGTTGTGCGATGGTTGGTTCTAGCTGGTACTTTTTTTCTTCTGAGGAGGCGGGGAGGAGGCTTACCTTTATACACTCCCGGGAGGAGCGGCTTCGTCAGACTGACCAGAGCCCGTCGCTGTTCCGGTTATCAAAACACGATTAGCACCAATCAAGTGTCACGCCTTGTTATGAAATCACCATAGAGGGGGCTGAAATCTCGGCTAAATATTTAGACATAAAAATCTGCGAATGATTGCAGAGATTGGTGTGTTACTTGGCGATGTTCAAATAGCGTGCCGTAAATTGGCCGAAGTCTTCTTGAGTGGAAACCAAACATTTGGTCTGCGCGGACTGAAGGGGTAGGGAACGTAAACTCACTAATTAATCATACCACGTGGGTACCCCGTTGACCCGTTGCCTGCTATTCTCTCATAGCTTAGGCAGCCTGCTTACTCCTAAACTCTGTTGGTATGGAGTTCTGTGGAAGGTTACAAGCAAAGAAAAGGTAAAATTGTCACGGTATAGGGCCCAAAAGTGGGCTAATATTTATGTGAAAGCCGGTTGTTTGCGAAACTCATTCCACTGCTCACAGCGCGTTACCGGCCCCGGCGTAGCGTCAATGATCGTACCCCTATACGTTTACCGTGAAATACTAGTCAGTTTAATGGCCTTTCGATGTATCCGAGAGTGAAGTGCTTGACAAGCACACATACAAAGTGTTAGAAAACACCCAAAATAAACTCCGACTGTCGTGGATTTGTTTAGAAAGGGACATTAAAATATATTTTAGGCATGGCGGCGACCAAAGAACGTAGCTATGCGACGTTTACAGCAAAATATACCCGTTTCTATCCGGTAAAAAACAAGGCCTGATATCTTGTGACACAACATGCGATATTTGGGGCGACAGCGTCATGCATTACCTCATAGTTTACTACAAGAAGATAAGGCGACTGTGTACTGCAGGTACAGGTGTTCAGAGTTGGACGTTAACAAATACACACAGACTACATGTACGTGTTCAGCAGTTCTCACGTCGGCAGGTCGTAAGACCATCTTTGTGTCTGAAAATTGAAAGCTTAGATTGATGAGTTTGTTTACCGTCCACGCGACTAATCTCTAAAACTGGGCCCTTCAAGGCCCGTATGGTAAAGTCTTTAATAAGGCAGCTGTTTTAAAGTTTAGACGAGTTTTGATGACTTTGCCGACACTTTGGACTGACTTAAGTCCATGGCTACAGGTCAGGGTGACATTTTAAGTCTTAATCAAGGACGCTATGTTATCTCAAGAATCTCTGTAGCAAAGTGTTTAGCCAAGGCAAAACGTCAAGGCATCTTTTGTGAATAACAAAAATGACCTGAATGCGTCAATCTTGCCACTGTTTGAATTTTCCTTTGTCAATGTATTATCATGTGTCAAACGCATTCGTAACATCGACAAATACAAGTATTACATGAAGGCAAGACATCGGTGCTCTAGGGGGACTTGGTGTGTTCTGGTATGCAGCGCTGGTCATCGGACATGTATCATAGCACCAACACGCAGTATTGATTTGTATTTATGTTTGTTTTAGAGAGCACACTGGCTTTATTTGGTACTTTCAAGTGTTGCCGTCTGACTCAAACCGTTGTGTAGGGCTGGACCAAATTGGAAGTTTGTCTGGAGGGTAAATTTGAAAAAGTTTGAAATACGTCATAGACAGGCGTGAAATGTGTACGTTGCCATGGACACGGTAGCAAAACTTTGGAAAACACAAACTTTCAAATGTTCATAGCAACGTAGGTGTTTGGCCCGGTGACTAGATTTTGTAAAGTTATGTCTTTGTTAAAATTGTACTGGTTTTGCTTTCATCAGCATGCAGCGGATATACATATATTATTAGATTTTACAATTGAATTCTTCTCAAATATCGAAGTTTGAAAAAAAAGAACAAAACAAAACTTGAAAACGCATGACAGGTTTGCTTCTACATATATGTATAGGAATTAACGGCTCAAATGACTCAATATTAGCACAAAGGGTGCGTGAACACCTCTTTTTCTTAACTTACTAATTAATGGGAAAGTTTAACGCCACACCTTTTACACATAATAGATCATACAAAAGTAAAGTTCTCACTCGCTATGATTAAGTTGTTCATGTATCACTGTATACAGGTAAGGGCAGAGACTCCGATACCAGCAGTTTGGAGTCTGTAAATTTAAAGATATTAGGTTAAAAAAAGACGACAGAACTTCTCAACTTTGATTCATGTCACTTAATATCAATGGATTGGCTTAAAATTTAGGATTTGTAAATGAGAAACCAACCTAACACCTTCCGTTATCTTCAAACTCGCCCTCCGTAAATCCATCTACAAATACATACATTGCCGAATTATTACAACTATTGTCGTTAAACATACCGCATTCCGTAACACAAAAGCCCGTCTTGTTCCTGGTCAGCAAAAGTTCACTCATAAGTATGTACCTAGCTATGACGACTATCGTTTAACTTTGATAAGGGGGAACGTTTCCAATATCAGGGAATGAATGTAACAATTCAAGTCGTTGAGATGTTTGACATCCTAATCCTCCATTCGGCGAATTAGATTGACTTCAAGTAGGCACAGTTAGAAATTCAGGAATTTCACAAACCACTTACCGGTTAAAGTGGGTCTTTTTCTTTTTTAAAGAAATATCATAATCGATGTTTCTAAAGTTTATCTCTTAAAAATTCAGCGTTGAAATACAGCTACTCTGGTGTATTTATGACAGGATCGCTCTTGTCAAATTCCAAGTGCGAATGTACGTTTCATGTTTGTTCATAATTGTCGAATGCATTTGTCACCATCAACATCGTCCCTCATATGAAAAATCAATCAATATATTTCAAGATTAAATGCCATTACTTATTCAGGATGTCAAGATGGACTAATTAGGTTGATTGATTGCAGATCTATCTATCTATAAAAGTATGGAGTTTGGGTACATTGCCGGATTAAAGCAATTAACGTGTTCTTGATTCTATAAAACAAAAATCCCGGTAGCTGTCAACATTTCAATCATCAGAAGGGTTCTTCAATCGTCGATAGGTTTTAAACCGCTGAAGTTTGAATCAAGATCAATTCACTGTCGGAGTCAATTGACTTTTAACAAAATAGGACAATTTATTGATGTTTTTATACGTAAACAATTTACGTAGTTAATTCAATGCACGGCGTATTTTTGAAGGGTTTATGTGAAAATCTTTGATTATTTGCGACCAGTTAGATAAAGTTCAAGTTGCTACAATAACTACGTTAGGGTTTTTCCAAGCCTATAGCTACCTGTAGCTTTAAGTTGTACACCTATTTGTGATAACACAATAGACATACGCCGTTTAACAAATTAACGTCACCACATAGACGTATTGATGAACGAAACGTAAATATCACTTTCACATTTACTAAAATTAATCAAAATAATTTGACACCACCATGGGCATACTTTTGTAAAGAATAAAAGTTATAAATTTTGAGATTAAATGCAATTACGTATTACATTAACCTGATATCAAACTACATTCAAAGAAAATTTTGACGTCTCTATTTATTTCGGGATTAATTAACTCACGTATTATTGATCTAAAAAGGCTCGTGCCCCTTTTACTATCAACATCTCAGTCATCGTAAAAAGCCCCCTGCATTGTCTATTGGAAGTCGGTGTTTTAGAACAATCTACTTGAAGATGTAAGTGGTCCTTTGCCGCAGATCTTTAAATGTATTCAAAAGAAGAGTATGACGTTTATATCTATATCAGGATTAAATAAACTCACGTATTGTACATTCCAAAAGGGAACGTGTTTCATTTAATATAAACATATCAATCACGTTAAAAGTGCTTTTTATCGTCTCTCCATATATGAGAAGTATGTTTTTAAAACTACTTGTAGGTTGAAGTGTCCTTTACCGTTCTTTTTCATAACTGATATACCAAATTTTATATCTACCGTCGATGAAGTTTAGACATCCAGGTAATGAGATGCATAAGAAAACTGTCACTCAAATAAATGGAAAAATCTATCCAGTTGCTTGAGTACGTACCACAGTTAATAGGTCTTAATCTTATGTATATGATATCTACATAGCACTTAACGATAAAAAACATGCCCTTATCAATACTCATTGAGTTCCAAAAGTAAATGTATGTGTAACATTAATTTGCTGACAATGCATCAGTTGCATGTCTTAGTAGGTAATAAAATCTATGTATTTCAAGATTAAATGCAATTAGATGTTCCAGATATTAAGGATGTATTCAACATAGAGTATGTTCGTTTCCATATATTTTTGGATTAGAGAAACTTGCGTATTCTTGATCCCAAAAGGCCCGTGTTTATTTCATATAAACATGTCAATCGTATCAACCGTACTTTGGATTGTATACAGGATGTAACTTTGATATAAACATAAACTTAATATCAAAGGAGATTAATTGAGATTATGTGATTACAACAAAAAACGCACTTGAAGTTTGCCAAAACTTTCTATTTTGGGATTCAAATCGATTGCCTGTTGTTTTGCAAGGGGCAAAAGATAAGAAAATTGTTTTTTTTTGGCATCCTGTGATAGAACAAGGTGAAGGTGAAGTGTGATAGAATAATCAATTGGACATCGTCAAACCAACGATCATGATGTGATGGATATCAATAGGAATTTCTCAAGAATCTTTCATCTGTTAACAAGTGGAATGTTTCATGTATATAATTGAAATATGCAGTTATTGAATAATGAAATATCGCAGTTGAAATGGCGCATTTGATAAACGGTACAGTGGCGTCGACTGCCTGATCTGAGTGGCGCCGAACTGCCGATTGTCTAGGCGAACGGACACGGTATCTAGAGGTCACGGGTTCGATTCCTTGCATTTCTGGCGAGACGTTGTGTCCCTGGGAAAGGCACTTTACAGGATTTTCGTCACTCCACCCAGAAGTAGAATGGGTAGTGGGGTCATATGGCGTAGCGGCAGAGTGCTAGACTCGGAACCAAGAGGTTCTGGGTTCGAGTCCTCACATGCCATCGATCTTGTGCCCTTGGGAAAGGCACTTAACACGACTTTCTTAACTTCGTGAAAAATGAGTATTATATTGTCCCCTGTGTTGGTGGGGGCATAAATATATGTTGAAAAAAGCTTGAGTGTGGCATCACCACGTCTTGTGATTATATGTTGGAATATAAAAAAAAGTTTTGATCGCCGCCTGTTATCTTCAAACTTAATTGCCCTCATGAAGATGACAGACAGTCATCGAAAAGTCGGCCCTTGTTAAGCAAGTGGTTGTGAACTGTATCGGTCGTTTATGATGTAGTGTTCGCCATGTTGCAAGTGGCCCAGGTGCCACGGAGGGCAACGGCCCTGCATCTGTCGCTAAAATCCTCAATCCGGATGCAGATTTATTTCAGAATTCCATCAGTTGTTCTACAAGCCATGGGAAAAAGCCAGTCCCCATAAAATCATAAAAACGCGTAAGTAACTTCTTGCGTTACCCAACCAACGCACCAGTCAAACAAGCCACAAACAAAGAAGCGTTGGGGAAACATTAACTTCATTGACGTAGGTTGGAAAATGACAATAGGAGAAAGGACCTTCACCCTATAAAAGTAACGATTTGACTATTTTTGCAGGACTGTGGCGGAATTGCCATGGAGCAATTAGCCAAGGTCAATCGGTGGGTCAGGATGTTGATGACCAGTAGCGAGATATATCCGCCTGGTTACAGAATGTGTACCGAGCAATTACAAACAAAAAACGGATCTGTGGGACAACACGTCTGGTCACTGGCACGTTTGGGTGCCGGGATGGTTACCCGGGTCATGCGGGTACGTCGATCAAAGCGACACGGTCAGTCAACGAATAGTCTTTATTGTATCCAGAACCGTGCCTATCTAGTTCTGTACCTGAATGGGTTAGGATCAGGTCTGGGTGTATTAAAGGCATCTAATGCGATTTCAGGGCAGTAAAACTGGAAATATTTTGAGTAAGACAATCCTTGTAAAATTGACACATGCTGCTTTACATTGGCACATTTCAATCAGTTTTTCATACTTTAGGCATTTAAAACTGAAGAAACAAGCCCCAGGATGAGTCCTTTATTTCTGGGTGGTATCCTAAGAATTAGCCAAGGGCACTACCAGTAACCATTTTCCGTCAGAATTTGGGGAATTTTTGCTCCATGAGGGTCAATATGCAATAGTGTGGTTTCAACTCAGTATGTAGATAAGTGACTAGAATATTGACTTTAAAAAATCGGGTTGCCCTAAAAACTGCATTGGATGCCTTAAAAGAACGTAGATTTGCTCCCAGACACGGTTCTGGATACGCGTGGACTATTCATAACCGGCCGCGTCATGGTTCTCGATAATGCAGGGTTCTGGATACAAGTCAAGCAATAGTTTCGAGGTTCTACGCGATTTTTCTCAATCTAGCTGAGCGGAGGGATCTTTAACATGCTCAAGGTGTGGCTCACTTCAAGGTATGGACGTCCCTAACCGAAGCTCCGTACTCATTTCAATCTGAGTCGAATGAGGAAATAGGTGCGAGGGTTCTGGCACGTGTCATTGGGACCTGCCAGGGATTCGAACCCAGGACCTTCCGATTCTGAGTCAAGCTGAGTCAACACCCTTAGCCACAAAACCACGTTGTCACAAGACCACCTTCCCACCTTGTTTGTGTTTGTGTTATCTCAGTTGCAAAGCGGTTAATCTGACCAAACAAAACTAATGATAATTAATGATAAGACAGAACACCGTCAATCCGTTCTAAATCCATTTTCCTTCTTTGGATTGGAATCTAGGTTACGCATTCCACGTGTTCGCTGCTGCACATGTTTTTGATCCTTTTGACTCACAAAATATTCCCGTGCAAACTAATAAAGAACGGGGGTAACAAAAATTCCCCGTGCTCTACATTTAGTACCAAGTATTCTTCAGCTGTAGAAGATTTTCCAATAAATGGTATGCTGCTCTCTGTGGTGGTAAGGGCGACAATAGGTCACATAATCCTCGGGCTTTAGCGTAAGCTGGTTGCGTACAACCTAAGTCAACATGCCAGCATTGGGCATAAACATATAACAACGTGAAAACTGAAGGACATGTGTCGTGCTATGAGAAAGAAAAAAGGATTGTAGTGTTGCCAGCGACTGAGACAAACATGTTAAAACTTTCCAAGTTTGTTCTGACTCCTGCGTCGGGATATTGTCGTGACCAGAAGGCGTGAAAATATTTGTCTGTTTTGCAAAAATGAAATATAATACAATAGAGTCTGTCTCAGCGGGAGGCTTCAATAATCAAATATTTATCATTTTTTTTACAACCTACGTATTTAGAGGCGTCAAACATGTTACAACAGGCCAACAAGGCAAACAGATTTGCCAGATCAAAGTTAGTATGGCTTTTGAAGCTATCTAATTTCATCCGCGTTTGAGTTTTAAGTTGAGAAGTTGTCATCGCGGTTAACTGCTTATAAAAATGAGTGCCGAAAGGGTCATGATACTGCTCTTTATTGTATATTCCAACATGTAATCACAAGACGTGGTGACGGCACACTCAAGTTTTTTCAACTTCGATTTTATCTTAATGTCGCCACCAAAACAAAGGACAATACAATACTCATTTTTACCTCAGCGAAGTGAGGAAAGTCGTTCTTTCCCAAGGGCACAAGATCGGTGGCATGTCAGGACTCGAACTCGGGACCTCTTGGTTCCGAGTCGAGCACTCTGCCGCTACAACGCATGACCCCACATGATACTGCTTGTGAAAAGGGGGACGGAAGGGTCATTAGACGCAGGCGCTTGTTGACCTGTCTAAGTCTTAAGCTTATTCTCAAGTTTATTTATCAGGCTTTACCACATTTGTGGAAGGATCTATCACTTTTTCAAGAGTCAACCCTGTGACCAGACTGTAAGGCGTGGTTGGATATTTTGACGTGCTCGAGGTGTGACTCTCCTTAAACACGGTACCTCTAACTTTACGTCCTATAACATCCCTACCCGACGCTAGGTACTCATTTCCACATGAGTCGTGAGAAAATAAGTATAAAGCGCCTTTCTCAAGAGCACAACGCTTTGGCCTACCAGGGATCCGAACCCAGAACCTTTGCAGTCTTTGTCAACAACCCTAACCACAAGACCACCTTGCCATCAACATTTATAATTGAGAATAATGTATCTAGGAAACATAGACCCAGCACAACCAGTTCATACTCACAGAAGGCTCTCTTCACAAATAGGCACAAACTTAATATCTTCTTAATCAATCCTAGCAAGTCTAAGTCTGACAATACGTAAAAACAGACTGAACCTCTTAAAGTGGACAGAATGATGAGCAACAACGTAGCAAATTCAAGTTTTCTTTACAAAATGTAGTTACATGCCCCCCTCATTACTTTTGCTTGTTAAGAATGGCATTTAAAAGTATGTTGATCCGAACGACATACCCTTTGGTGAAATATTTCATGAAACTGCTCAGGAACTCGAAAGACTTTGACCAGGACGGCAAATAATCACCAAATAAAAACGCAAAAAATGTCAAGATTTGAATTTTGTTTAGGAAAAGGTGTCATCCAATGTGCATGGATGCCTTGGCTGTTTCGGTAGACCACCTTGAAGCGTAACACGCCAGTCTCGTAGAGTAAATACAAGCTGCGTAAGACCGGACTGTATATACATGTAATGTTTGATCGACTTACACTAGGACCACTTTTCGATAAGCGCGGTGGGATCTTTAACATGCCCAAAGTTTTGCTCTCCTCAAACACGGGAAATCCAGCTTTATGTTCTATCCGATAGGACGTCCCTAGCTAAAGCCAGGTATTCATTTTCACCTGAGTCGAGTAAGAAAATAGGTGCAAAGTACCTTTCCCTAGAGCACAGCATTGGGCTTGCCCGGATTCGAACCCAGAACCTTTGGATCCTAAGTCAACAACGTTAACCACAAAACCACGTTGCCTTCCGACGTATCAGCAAAGACATCTCGCGAAATGCATGAAATACTATATATTTAGTTTTCCCTTTTCCCTCAAGAAAACAAAAAGAATCCTTTTTTTGAGAAGGCAATTAGATACTCCCCACCCCACGTCTTGTAAAGTTAAGAGAACTTACCTTCGGGTGAGCACTTCTGCGCAGTCTACGACTGGTCTTAGGGGGTTTATTCAACTTATAGGCCACTGAGTGTCACATGATCTTATTTGAAGTGCATCTGACCATGACATTATATTTGTGGTTACGCGCCGGTGTTCAATATTTGTCAGGTGAGATGCATCATGCTCATAAACAATATTTGTGGCATTATTTATGCAAGGAGAAGCGCTATGGCAGTGGGAACGCAACAGATGAGGGATGTTTAAAAAAGACATATGTTTGCTTGTGTCGTATAACCGTATTGTTCTCTTCATACAAGCAACAATGGCATTGCAAGGTTTCTTTACAAAATGCAGTTACATTTCCTACTCATTACTTCGGCTTGTAAAGAATGCCATTTTAACGTATGTTAATCCGAACAATATCTCCCCTAGTGAAATATTTCATGAAAATGCTTAGGAATTCGAAAGACTTTGACCACCAAGGAGGCGAAAAATCGACAAAGAAAAACGCAAAAAATTGCAAGGTCAGTTTTCGTTACAGGAAAAGGTTTAGGCGTAACACAGTTTTGTACAGAACGTACGTACACACTGGGAAGGACCCTTGTTCTTTTCGATAGTGCGGTGTGATCTTGAACGTACTCGAGGTGTGGCTCTCCCAAACACGGGACCTTTATGGCTTTACGTCCCATCTTTTAGGACGTCCCTGACCGAAGCTGGTGTAAAGTGTGTTCCCAAAGACACAACAGTGGGGTCTGCCAAGAACCAAAATCTTCAGATTCTGAGTCAACAACCCTGACCACAAGACCACTTTGCCATCTAAATGCTTAGTTACACCAAGAATCATTTGTGTATAATTATTGGATAGCAGTACCGTACATGTCAATAAGTCTTATTTGATGTTCGCGATGTTCGAAGTGTTGGTAATCGACCCACGGTAGTTAAAATGGCCCGGATCCGTTGTAAGAAGTAAAATTCCTAAACGTATCTAGTTCCCCATTTTATTCCAAGCAATGTAGAGGCCATGGATTTATTTAAGTTTTTTTTTCTCAGTATAAAGACTTAAGTTTAATGGTTGTTACAATACTTTTTTTTAAGTTGGCATCTTTGTACATTGCGATTCTTTTTGCCGAGAACTTTATATTTTCAAAAGTTAAAAATGAAAAACCATGACTGCTCTGTTTAACATGTTTAACACATGTTAATCATCCTGTGGGAACTAGGGGAAAGGTAGCAGCAGATTCTGCTGACGCATGACGATACAAATTAGCAATAAGATCCAATAGACGGCTTAGTTTGCCTTCTATTCAAACAATAGATAAGATCTAATCATCCGTCCCTATTGTACATGTGATAAATGACTGTTTGCGTGTTTTCTCCAAGTAATGGAGTTAGCAGTAAATCGGGTCTTCTGACATTTACCCAGATTTAACCATACGTGACTATTTAAGGTTAACCATCATCACCAAATGTTTTGCTAAAGTCGAAGAAATTGCTAACCCTCTATGAGTGATGTGTTTGTCTACAGCGTTATATCCTCGCGAGGAAGTTTGCTTCGGTAGCAAACTTTCTTACATCCTCCGGTCAACAAGTGATTCGACCCCCCCATTTGTCACGAAAGTGGAAAGGTCCAATTACGCACGTCTGGGTAAAATCTGGCGTGGAAAAACACCAGGAATGACGTCATGCAAACGTGATGGAACACACGGTTCGTGTTTTGCTGATGAAGACAGATAACCTGGCAACCCTAAAAATAGCTACAGACAAAACATCTTATCTTATCGGCAGAAATACAATGTAGAGTTTTTTTACAACACTTCATGGGAGAACTATGTTGTTGCCATCCCCAGGTGGTTTGAATTCCAAAGTTATACAGTCATAAGTTTATGCAGAACACAAGGAAAGGGTCAAACCGTTTTCTTACTCTCCAAGCAGAGGTTGTTGGGGAAGATTGTGACCTTTCTACCATATACCCAGATTTCTGTCGCTACTTTCCGCTACTTGGTTGATAACAGTGACAGAAACATGGCATATGATGGAAAGGCCACAGTCTTCCCCACCAACCTCTGTTTGGAGAGTATGTTTTTTCTATCCTTCTTCTGATAGAGGCATTGACCGATAGGCCAAGTTCATAAGGCGAGTGTTCATAAGTTCACAGGACCTAACATCATTCGCAGACTTGTAGGGCGCGGCGTTATTTTTTTTTCGGTGAGCGACGCGAGTTATGCCGCGGAGGGACGATTTTGCCGCCGAGAGAATTTTTCCGGGGAGAGACGGTTTCGCTCCCAAACAAGTCGGCGACCAAAAAGGGCTTTTAAACTAGAAAGGCCGACATTTGCTTTGGAGCAAATACAGCAATGGCTTCACCACATTTTACGACATGGCAGGGAAAGAATGAGAAACACAAGGGAAAACAATGCTTTACATTGATATAACTATAGTATGAAGTAACATACAACTAAGACTACAACAGTTGGATAGCTATTCCCTACATTATTGGTTAGGATTTTTAATTGCATAATGCAAACTGTTGATTTTCAAGAAAAAAGAAGCGTTCATGCCCCGCATATATTCCAATGCTGGAGCAGGAAAGCTTAAAAAAAAACTACCAAAACACTTGAATACAGACCTACTGTCAGTATGGAATGGCTCTGTGCAGGTATTAATTAAGTTAAGCCTGTTAAATTCCAACAGCCAATCAGCAAGGAGAATAGAGGAAAGCTGCATGCCTATTGGTTGATGCCCTGCATTCCATTGTGATGACTCATGCCCAAATGTGGTAACACTGCACACTAACTCAGTAATACATTTGCTATAACACAGCCAAAAAACTCAAATAAAACCATTCTAAAAGCCTGTATCACAAAAATTAAAAAAACGCCTAGGGGTATTTGCCTACTGTACCTCCATACCAAATTTCAGGTCCTTAGGCCCCAAAATGAAGAAGCTGAATCCATTTAAAGAAATGGCAGGAGGAGAAGGAGAAGAAGAAGAAACATCAGAAAAAGCAATATGGGTTCACCACCACTTCGTGGTGTGGTGAACCCATAAAAATAGCTTCGCACACTTGTAGGGCGCGGTGGTATTTTTTTCGGTAAGCGTGGGCACCGAAAAAAAAATACCACCGCGCCCTAGGCCACGGGTTCGGTTCCTGGCTAGAAGTTGCGTCCTTGGGAAGACACGCGACTTTCCTCACTCCATTTTAGCTGACTTCGGCAAAACCTTCCAATACTGTGCCCTAGACACAGTGAATCGACCACTATGGCTTCAAAAATGCTACGGGACTACCTTTTATCTTCCGATAGGAGGAAGGATAGACGACGTTCTATGCAAAATGTAGCTGTCTTGTTATGGAAAGGCTATTTTTGTATTCTTGGTTCTGTCACAGTCTGCTTGAGTGTACGACATCAAACCAATCGTACTACGAATGTGATCCCACCCTTCAGCATAATCGGAAAATTACCTTACCATAAAAGACCGTATAACACACCGGTTTGAACAGACAGTTAAAGCTACGTGAGACAAGACTGTATGCACAAGGAACTGTTACTCATTGATAAATTTTGAAAACTGTGAGACATTTCAAGTAGCATCCATTACTTTTCGTCAGAATATATATACATACATTTGTATATATACATATATCAAGAATGCATTCAATAATTTACGTTCGACGATTGTACAACGTATGTGTCCAGCCTCTAAGTAAGACAAAGATCCAATGAATGATGCTCGTGCTGGATGTAGTTCCTTATTTCCTGAAATCAGGTCAAAGTCTTGCTCTACCGGGTCAAGAAAAGGTGAAACCTGCTTCCTTAGCGGAGGTCAAGACAGAAGACCGTCGACCCTCGGCTTAAGGTGATTAAACTCCGGTTACTGCCACGTGGTTCTCTTTTTTGATTTACAGGGTCAAGAAAAGGTGAGACTGACTTCGTTCAAAGCGGTGAGACGATTGGGCCGTACGTTGACCCTTGCCTTAGTGGACCAGAATGAGGTTAATGCCACGTGTCCCATCCCCAAAGACCGGCCTCCTTTGAAGTGGCCAAAAGTCAGACATTTAAAGTCACAGTCCTTTCTTTACTATGAGTCTAATATAATTCCATTACTTAATATGTCAATAAAGAGACAATATGTAGGTCTTTTTCCTTTGTTGCTGAAAGACACGGGGATTCATTTTCAGGCTCAATGTAGGAAAAGCGTACTTGTGTAGAGTTGGTATAACCTAGATACGGCACAGCAGGGGATGGTACGTGTGAATATGTTATTATTCCATTCTTGCTCATTTCTTCAGAACGACCAGCAGAACGGTTTGAAAAGCAGTCAGCAGGTCGATTTGAGCTGAGCCTGGTCACCAAACCTATTTTATGGGGCCGTGTGGCGTAGCGGCAGAGTGCTCGACTCGGAACCAAGAGGTCCCGGGTTCGAGTCCTGACATGCCACCGATCTTGTGCCATTGGGAAAGGCACTTTACACAACTTTCCTCACTTAACTCAAGTGAAAATGACTATTGTCCTGTTCTGCATTTGTCCTCTATTTGCGTTCGTGACGGCATAAAATAAGTTGATATAACTTGAGTGTGCCGTCACCATTTCTAGTCATGAAATGTTGGTATAAAAGAAACTATTATTTGGCTGCCGAGTCTAAAAGTACTAAAAGCTACAAGCTTACGAAGAATTTTCCGTATCTTCTGGCCAAACACTATCAAATGAGGAATTCTTGCAACAATGTATGGAAACCATTATCCGAAGTGGAAATGGACAGAACATGTGCAATTGACATTTGTTGATTATTTGTTGTTTGTTGACATAACCAGTAAACCGCCTTTAAGCGTGACACGCCAGTTTTGTACAGTAAGCACAAGCTGTGTAAAACCGGACTGTACGGTTTGAACTACTCATATGGGGATAAGGACCCGCACTTAGTTTCGATAAGTGCGGTGGGATCTTAAACATGCTTGGCGTGTGGCTCTCACCAAACACTGGACCTCCATCTTTACGTCCGAGAGGACGTCCCTAACCAAAGCTAAGTACTCATTTGCACCGTCGAGTGAG